ACAAAAGTACACCACCCTTAAGTGTGCAACCCCAACCACCAACGTGCGACTTTAGGCGCGCTCATATACCTCTTCCATCACAAAACTAACTCCCGCTCATTGCATCTATCAACGTAACTAAGCCAAATCAACACTCACCGGCTCTTCAAGAACTTGTGCTGCTTCAGTGGGACTGTGGAGGTTTTCAACTGCATTATTCCGTGGTTCAATGAATTGTCTGTTCTCCTGATCCCGCGATGGACCGCGAACACGAACAGTCTGAAAAGAAGAAATGGAACCTCATGAGGACTGAGATACAGCTGGTGTAGATCAGAGAATTTTCCGGTAATACTACGACTACGACTACGACTACGACTACGACTACGACTACTACTACTACTGCTATAATTGCTTATTTTGAATAACTGTAAGGGTTTCGGTAAATTTGCATACATATGTAACCAAATGTCTCATTTCGAAAAGTCTTCAGAATTAACACAAGCAAACAAGATAAATAACGGAACAGTTCGATGGTAGATGCGGATCTTGTTCCACTGTCAACAGGCCGACACTAAAGGAATGTAGTTTCTGATGAGACAAAGTATCCGCCATACAATTTTCGGTACCTGCAAAATAACTCTTGCAGCCGAAGAGCCCATCAGATTGGTTTTCCTCTCGGGTGCTTGGTGGTTCTAATCCAGTCCAGTGGCTTGTGGTCCGTTTCTACACGCAACCTTTGCTACAGAAGGTATGGTAACCACTTATCCACGGCCTATATGATGGCAAGGTATTCTTTTTCAGAGGTGGAACATTTACTTTCTGTGGGAGTAGGCATCCTGTTTGCGTATCCAACCACTCCAATTGCCTGTTTGAGTACAGCTCCCACACCAGTCACTGGTATGCCCAAACTGGCAACTTTAGCATCAGATGATGTTCGGTCATAACCTTTTGAAGTCCATCGAAGGCTTACCAGGCCTCGCGTGTCCGTCGAAAGCGATGTTCTCCCTTGAGCAATGCGTATAACGGTTCAGCGATGGTCGTAAAATGTTTGATGAACCGACTATGGTATACTGGAGCAAGTGGTCGACCTACATAGAGTACGTTGGTTGAGGGATGTGTTACGCATGTCACCAAATAGGTTGCCACGACGAGCGATGTTCGCCACGGCAAGTAGTGGGTGCATTAAAGCCAAGGGTGGTCAAGCTAAGACCTGGCACGAGGGCATGATAACCCTAACCAGGGGACTAGGTCATATAGGTCCCGTTAGGCTCCCTGGATGGGGACCTCGAGATGATCGTAACCGGTGGTTACAGACACTGAGTGCCATGGCTGAGTGTCGTAAACAGTGTCGTCTGCGAGTCTTCTCAATTTCTTTGCACCCTTAGTCGACTGAAATTCTCCATTTTCTATTCGACTCTACTTCCAACCTTACTGTTTTTCACCTGCTGTTCATCCAAATGGGCAGCCAAAGACAGCAACCTTAACCCAAGCAAAAAGTGCATGTTTATTGGTTGTACAAACTGAAACTGAAGTGAATGCAGTATGGCTTAGGAACCGCCTAAATGTTCATTTCGATGTTGGGCATGCAGACTACTCTAACTTAAGAATTTTCTCTGAGTGGTCTCATTTCTCCGTGTTTAACCTTATGACCAAGTAAACTCACCGTCGGATTCCCAAACTGCAACTTCGATCCGTTAATCCGAAGGCCAGATTACGGGATTATTTTCAAAACTTTTTTCTAGGTGGTGCGTTCGGCGGTTGTTTGACTATAGAAAACAATATCGCTGTCATACACCACCAGGTTGGGGACACGCATGAGAAACTTCTGCATGAGGAGACGGAAGGTAACCGGCGCCCGTGATAATCCGAATGGCATTTGTTTAAACTAGCATTGTTTATTGCCGACTGTGAACGCCGTTTTCTCCTGATTGGCTTTCTCTATTGGCACTTGTCGATATCCCGAATGTAAACCTACCAGTGGGAATATTGTTACCTCGAAGTTGATCAAAAGTTTATGCCACAGTCTGGACTGAGACCGGTTTATTCATAGCCACCGTGTTTAATTGATGGAAACCCAAGCAGAAACGAAATTTGCCGCTGAGCTTTTTGACCAGCAGCACGGGCGAGCTATACAGACTTCGAGCTTCTTCAAATGATTCCTTTACCATTTGTTTAACCTGCCGCTTGACTTCTCCTTCGAAGTGTTACGGGATTCGGCACGAGATATAGGTGCGAAAGTTTCCTGAATTTATTGGAATTTCTTGTTCGACCACTTGCAGAACCCGTATGGATCATTATCGCATGTGAAAAAATGAGAGTATCCTTGCGCCACTGGATGAAATGAAGCGACGCATTCGCGTGTGCTGTCTCCGTACGAACGGCCGACAACTCCTTCCATTCCAGCGCAACAGTGGGATCACACCGAATTTGGTAACCAGCCGTCCGTCGTTTAGATCAAAGGTAGCCCCTATACTGTGAGATATGCGCTCCCAATATAGCCTGGCCCGTATCTTTTGATATGACAAACGGATGCTTGAGTATCTTCATTCCAACACAGACTGCTCCATCCACCTACAAGCGGTAACCCCTAACTCTTTTTAAAACTGTATTTCATGCTTCCAGGACCTCCTTTGCTCCAGGTCTCGTCAAAGATACTGCTGCGCCTAAATCGAACAAGCATAGTTCTTTCCGAT